CATGTGTGGTCAAAACATGTAACATACCAAAACAAAATATAATTCTCACAAAGCCATAATCCAGCTGGGGTTGCTCAATGATAAACATCAGCTGTGCATAAAGAACTCGAAAATAATGCACGGCTAAGGTAGTTTGTAGTACGTACAACGCTTTCCTTCTCTGCAATCCAGCAATATGTTTACAGAATAACTATATATAAAGACTACATTAGAAAATGCCACATCCTGTCCTTATATTACAGGGATGAAGTGAGTTCGCAAGTAAAAGCTAGAGACCTAAGAAAGTAAGTACCGAATAGGGTTGGAATTTTCATTGGGCAACTGAACATTATGATGCTTGATTCACTGGTGCCATAGAAACAGGCAACCTGCAATATTGATATAAAAGGAACATCATTCAACCTGAGGACCTTAAAAAGATTACCAAACATTATAAACCAAACTACACTTCTGCCATGCAGACAGGCACATTTATTAACATAAAACATTACAGATATAAGTTAGTGCTTGCACATTGCATGTAAACAGATGAGAACTTAGCTTACATAGATAACCATCCACTATAAAATGAGCAGACAATATTATTTTGACACAAATAAGTTAAGCTGATTACTCTCCCTCAGCTGCTTAATATAACTGAAAATTCAATCTCCCCCAATAGGCTTCAAGGAGGAATGGGCAAAGAAAACTTTTCTAAGCTCAAATCCAGCAAATTTTGCAAAATTGAGTTGTTGTTTTTCCATTTTTACTTTTAAGAAGCATCACACCTAACTGATTTATAAGCAAAGGAGTTTGTTTCCCATATAAAGAATAACCTTGGTCGATTCACCCAAAGGAAAAATATGTTAAAAAAAATGCAAAATTAACACACCTCAAAATGGTATAGGTACAAATCTTCCAATTAGCTTAACCAATAAGCCCATAATCAAACATCAAACATTCATGAAAAATAGCAATAAAAGGTACTTGAGTGCTCAGTCTAGACAACACAAGAAGATGCAAAAAATTACAGAAATTGAAAATTAACACTTACTGAGCATTAGTGCACAATTTCTTGTTATTCTTCTTCTTACTCTTACGCCGCCTTTTTTTCAAAGACCCTTCACCCTCACCCAAAGACTGTACTTCTGGCACAAATGTAATTGGAAGAACAGCAGGTTCTGAGGGTGGTTCAGGCTTTGGACTTTTGAATTGATGGAGAGGAAGCGGCTGTCCTAAACTTGGCTCTACATTTGCACTTATTGCTACATTTTCAGTGACAACAGTTGATACAATCTCTTTATCTTTATTAGCGGATGTGCTTGCTCCCACAGATTGAGTATCTTGATGGGCATAGCCCGGGCCCTTGCCTCCATTTAGGACGGCATAGAGTTTTGATTTTGATTTAATAACCTCAGTGAGTAAAGTACTATAGCGAGAATCACCTGTATCACAGTTTAAATTAGTCAAAGAATGAGCTGATATCTCAACAATCATGCAGCTTAAAAATGAATCACATGCATAAAGAAAAAAAAAAGAGAAGTACCAAGAAGAGAGAGGATAGCAGCACGTGCTCCTAATTGTTCAGCTTCTTTCTTGGTCCTACCGATTTCACCAGTGTATCTTTCACCATTGAATAACACAGAAGATCCAAAAACTGGAAGCTGTCCGTTTCGCTGAGTAGTTTCATAAGTTGGCCTGTCCAAATTCATCTTGACTGCAAACTCATTCAAGATACTCTTGCAAAGAATTTTATCCTGTAAAATTAACATTGCATAACTATGCATTAGCACAAGCTGCACAACTTTTAGCATCAGATTATGTAAAATTGAAGGGCTTCATTTTCAAAGTTAAAGTTGGTGTTAATAGCAGGCCATTCTTGAACTTTTTCAGAATGTTGTAAACAGGACGTTCAACACTAGTTAAAAAAGTACACAGCAGCAGATGATCTTCTAAATTTAGAAAGATCACTTCTGTTGGATCACCAATAAGGTTTGCCAAAAAAAGGAATCCACTACATTAGTTCACCACTATGAAGTAGTCCTTTGCTGCAGTTTCTTAATTTTTTATCTACAACTTCGTCCATGATAAGAACTGCTTTTCGTTTCTCAGTTTTATGTTAATCAAGCCTAGTATCCTTTCATTTCTGAAGTTTATTGACATATTTTAGATTTTTTACATTTTAACTTTTCAATTTTTCCTTTCTTTTCTGATGCTCTTCAGCAAAAAGGTTCTTCAACAATTCAAAAAATTACACACACACACACACACACAAAAAGGACAAGGCTAAAATTCACATAAATATAAAACGAACCTCATTGATGAGGGGACAACCTTCATCCTTTATCTTCTTTGTAATAGACTCCAATGCAATTTTAGCCACATCTTGTTCTGCTGCTTTTCGAACTGAAAATGTGTTTCCTGAAGTGTATGTTGCTCCATCGACCAACACAGTTGATCTAAACTTCGGAGCATGTGATTGTCCCTCATTAACAGTAGTATATACAGGTAACGGCAGAGATGATCTCTGAGTATACTCCTGTAAACGATTCTTATGCATCAGTGTTTCTGGGATCCCTAAACAAAAAACAGGAATTAGAATATCAAATGAGTCAATGACAAATCAGAATATCAACAAATGCAATTAAAACCAGTAGTTATATCATATACAAGGGGTGTTGTATCTGACTATATTATCATAACATAAATAGAAAACTAAAATCCTGAAATATTATTGGTATAAGAAGGCATTGCAGAGTGCATGTTTTTGAAAGTGGCAATACCAATCCAGCAGCATTATCTTCAAGAAAAATCAGCCTAACTTGATTTCAGCAATTACAATGCCAAAAAGTTGATTTGATAGTTACTGAAGAACAATCAAATCCATTAGACTTAATAACTTAATGCTGTTTCCACATACTAAGTTATTGCTCATAGGAAAGCAATGTATAAGGGGTTCTCTGTCTTTGTGTTTTTCTATTCTCTTTTTGGTATCACAGGATTTCTTGATTCCCCCTTTTCCTTGATGGGCTGCTAATAATTTCAATCACTTCAAACATGCAAGTTATAGACTAAGATAGCCTTTTAACTTGATTGTAATTTTAGTTTCACAACCTTTCCATGTTTAAAAGTAAAACGTTTTAGTTGTATTCTGCAACTCCCAAACAAACAGGGCTATTAGCATTTGCACTTTCCTTCCTCCTAAAATCCTTTCTATTAATCCTTTTGCATCACTTGCCTTCAAAATTCTGAAAGAAAGTACTGAAAAATGTCTGACTACAAATTTAAACAGTAGCTTCCATCAATTGCACGAGAATCAATATAGCAAAGAAAAATGTAAGGCTATAGGGCAACTAACTACAAAACCAAAAGGGAAGCAGATTCATTTTCCTTCCAATCAAAATCTAAATGAGCACAACTGATAATCATGCTAAATACAATACATTATATGTCGCCTAAAAACAGCAAAATATCATGGGGTCACACAGCTATGCAGATATACATAGAACTAAATCAACAAAAAGAAAATGCATATTCAAATAATCTTTGACATGTTGCATACACAAATTATAACAACGAAAACTAGTTTAATCATACAACCACCGATCCATAACTGCAACAATGTTATATGACTCAGCTAACAAATATCTACTTTTTCTCTCAATTCTCAACACGAAGTGCATAGAAAAAAAATAAAATAAAATTAAGACATGGAATCCCAAATATGCTTGAGGAGGAAGCACGCTATAGACCACCGTTTTTAGTTACCTCTAATCCCTTTTCATTCAGAGCCTAAAGCATGGTTGAAAAACGAAATGACCCACCTCCTACTAAACTGGCATCATATATCCCATCAGCTGAAAGTCTTAAAAGTATCATTTTTACAACTTTGTTCGTTAATGGGAGCATAAAATATAATCTTTACGACTTGGTAGGTCAATACTCAATAGGTAGAATAAAATTATCATCTTTACAACCAGGTAGATAATTGATCTTGATTAAAGAGAAATAATTGATAAAAAGGAACAAAAGAGGTAATAGAAATGGCAAAACAAATGAAAATTCAGAGAAAAAAAAATCAAAATCTAGGAATCAGATGACCACTAGCATACATTGCTCCACAACATTGAAAAAAGAGAGAGGGAGGGGGGGGGGGCACCAAAAAGAAAATATCAAATTACTGAACTTACGGCTTGAAGATGCTGGAGCTGGAGCTGAAGATGAAGACGGAGGTTGGGCGGAAACCGATACCATCTGAACCTGAACTGGAGCCGGAGCCAGAGCCGGAACGGGAGCCGGAGCCGGAACGGGAACCGGAGCCTGAACCAGCGCGTGAGTTGTGGATCTTTGAGGTGGAGGATTCATCGGAAATTCTGGTAGGAGAAAAAGGTTTGAGATTCAGGAGTTTTGGCTACTTGAGAATCGGCACGAATGACACAAACCTTGCGCGCTCTCTGCGCCCAAGGTTTTTTTATTGCCTTTTTATTTTTTCGGGCGTCGAGGTTTTATTGTTTGGGTCTACAGCAACTGAGAACTGAAAGGAACATAAATGAAAGGGAGAAGCGTAAATTGGTGACTTCATGAGTCAGTGTTGTTTTAGCTGGTGTGTTTATGTACGATCTAATTCGGTTGATTTCGCTTAAGTTGATTTTATTTAATTAAAAATCAACTTAATTTAATATAAAATTAAATTAATTTGAATTATAAAATTTTAAAATTAATATAATTAATTTGATTTATAATTTTACATTCAAATTAATTAAATTGTCTGATTACTAAATAAAATTTAATTACAAGATTTTTTTTTTTGAACAATGTGGTCACGAGGTTGGTTTAAAC